TTATAGATAATAGGAGAAATCTTTTTGACCAGATTTTCTATTGAAAGAGGGAGAACTTTTCCTTCCACAATAATCAGTTGAAGCAGTTACTGTTTTGAAACAGAATAAAGTACTCTGTAAAACAGGCACATAATTATTTTAGTTTTAAAACCTTTTATTTCAGAGAAAGCATGCTGCTATATACAGAAAAAAATGTGGGTCGAAGCAAAAGTGATACAGAGTGGGCAACATAATCCTTTAAAACTTACATATTCCTTAAAACTTGCAGATGCTTTTACAAACTTGAGTGCACCAGTAGTACTATATGTTCTTCTCCTAAATCACCTCAAGCAAAATGTCATTTCCTCACAGATGCTGAGCAAACACAGCTATCTCTAGCTTTCATATAATGATGAATTCAGGTTTCCAACAGAAAACTTAGAGCAATGGTTTCAGCAAATGACTTCTACGAGTATAATATATTGAAGAAATATCACTTCATGTTGCTAATATCTTATTTCAAACAGCATCATTCAACTATGCAAACTAGGTTGTACATTTAGCAAAGTCTAGGCAAGGCTCAGTCAGTTTTCCTTTTTATCTTTCTTCCTCCTACTTAATTATCTTTACAGCCGTAAAACTCAGTAATGTCTCATTCCTCTTCCTCCTAACAAAATACCGTCAATAACTTCCCTCCCATTTTCTTCTAGAACTAAAGTCAAGAGACTACAACAGGGATGTTCTCCTGTATACTGAAGTTACATTTTATATAGTAAAGGACAAAAGCTAATCTACTTTATAATGAAGAACATGAACCAGGTTGTATCATTATTTTTTACTTTCGGTGACAGCGAATGGATAACAGGCTAACAATAGGAATCTACAGAAGACAGGCACTCAGAAGAATGGCCCTAGCAGTACTTCCTCTGTGTGCGACACTCTTAGGCTCTAACTCAGGACAGCGGTCAATTTTCTACTGTAATTCTCTGTCTCATGTATTTGGCTGCTAAACGTGGGCTTTTAACTTTTAACATTAAGGATTTGCGCTGATAGGCCGTGATGCCAGTTGCGCAATTTGGCAAAGCGTGGGCTGTTACGTTCCGTTTCAAACCTTTCCCTGTGGCATGAAGAAAGGGAGAGAGAGAGAGAAAGACAGAGAGAGAGACACACACACACACAGAGAAGAAGAAAGGAGGGAGAAAGAAAGGGGTTAGGGACCATGGCTACCACTCCCCTGCCTTATAACTAGGGCAATAGCAATTTATTTGGATTTTTAATTCAGCTTTCGAATCGGCACAAAGAAGGCTGTGCGATCCTCTCTGGACCATGTACAAGAGGTCCTGTGCTTGTTCATTTCTGAGAAGTAACTTGATGCAACTTCATATTCTTTGACTTGTGCTTGGTGTTACAGGGCTGCTTTTGCTAGAAACGCAGTGTAATCCCATTGTTTTCCTGCCAGCGGATTCTCTCAGCTTTTTCCTTCCTCCCCCCAGCTGAGCAGACAGTGAAAGTTAACCCCACACGAGAGCAAAATGAATGCAGCTATTTTCCATTCTGTAATACCTAGGGCAGCCTATATATATATCTTGCTATCCTTCCTGGAAGGACCACCAGCCACCGGTTTCAGTGGTATTATTCTATAGCTTTTCTCAGTATAATGCAAGTGAGTACATATGCAAGTGTTCACATTTGCATAAGTATTTCTGGTCATTTGTGTTGAAAAGCAGAACAACATGGGATTTTCAAAGCACAGTCCTGTGAAGCATTGGCCACCTCCTGTGAATACCCCTAGCTACTTCTGCTTGCAAGCTGGGGTGCTCAAGCAAGTTGTAAGCAATGTTCAGCACCTCTCAGGATTTTATCTTTTCTAGATGTTCTATAGTTTAAATTCCGGTTTTGGTTTTTGGTTTTTTGTGGGTTTTTTTAATATAAACAGGAAGAGGAGGCTGTGGGATGCGAGCACGGTCAAGGAGAAGTATATCAAACAGAATGGAAAATAAAATGTTCTGGTTATTTGCAAAATGTCATTGATTCACTGCAAACAAGGTAATTTTCCTCTCATTATTTACACCCAAAATGCAAGACAATTGTGTTAATGCAGCAGAACTTGAGAGTGAAACCAGCCAAACAGAAATGAACAGACTGGGCTGCTTTTACTCCTCAGGCTGAAGAAAGCACAAAACAATACACAGAGTAAATGCCAATAAATTCACTGATATTTCTAAATTTTCTGTTCCTAATAACACAGTGTCATGCAAGTAACACTCCTGAAGGAGTCCTGATATATGACTTCTCAAGCAATCTTTCATGCTTTTAAGTAATCCAAAGATAGAATGTATTCCTAGCTGAAATGCTGAAACTTCATGATGGCATTTTTGCAAGTTACACTGGAGCATACTAGCTGCAGTGAGTCTTACGTGGAATTTAAGAATTCCCTTACTGCTTGCTTTAAAGACATACCCCTCCATTCAAGGAAAAGGTATTCAGAAACATCTGTTTGGCTTGAAATGGATACCATCTTTCCGGAAAATATTCCGTAACAATCATCACAACAGCAATGGAAAGTTTTCATAGCAAGTTATAATCTTACATGTGCCTTCAGAATAGCAGTAGCATGAGCAAAGGAGAATCATGCAGTGCACTCATTAACTGAAAGGAATATTCTGCCACCTGAAAATTCCCGAGCTTTATGGGTTCTGTTCAAGAGCATACATCCTGAAGTTAGAAGCAGCAATCCTGAAGTGACTATTTTTATGTAAAACAGTTCCACCAAAACTAAGCTACATGGGGTTTTTTCTTAATTGCCCCCCTCCCCCGCCATCATTTGTAAGAAACCCGATCACCATTCATGCAGTTCTTATGGATTACACTGAAGAGCTGACACAGAGAGACAACAGCAAGCACCAGAGAGAGATCGCTCACAGCACGCCCTGAGACCAGAATTCCCCACCCTGTGAAATGCCTGGCAGTTTAAGTTTTGGAACATGAAGGATTTTTCCAGAATGCCAGCAAGCATGGGATTAATGCATGCTGAATCTGGCAAGACTCAGGTTCCATAGTTCCACGGAAACCTTTTGGTTTTGGGAGGCCAGGAAGCCTTCCAGGTGATCCCAAACTGTGGGCATGAAGGAAGGCATGGTTGTACAGGCTGCCTAGAGTAGATACTGAAAAGGATTTTCTACTCCATTTTGTACTGGAAGAGTGGAGTTAAAGTACAGATTCTAAGCATCTGACACAGGTCCTTCCATCCTTTACAGAACCAGAAGTGGCAGGGGCCTTGCCAAAAGATTAAACAGAAGCAGGGTCCAGTATGCCAGAGAGAGTGGTATATGATGGATGCATGCATAACCACGGCTGTTGCTACAAGATCTGTAGTGGAGGATGTGCAATGTTTGAGGTAGGTATGAGGCCACCAAGATGAGGCAAGCATTACCAGGTAGGAAGGAGACCCCATTTCATTCCTTGCACCAGAGCTCATGCCATTTGCACTGCATAACTACCTAGTATATATTCCCTTCTGCCTCTTCTACTGGTGAATGCCCTCTTTGGGTAATGCAGCTGTGCCTAGCTATAACCATAACTATTCTTGTTGAAAAAAGGGTAAGACAGTGATACCTCAAGACTGTAAAAAATGTGTGAAGCACAGTGGATATAGTCATGTACTTTCAGTTACACTGAACAGAATGTGCAATTTACACATGTTGATGGGTTACTAGAAAATTATTGTCACCACAATCTGATACCATGTTAAGTTCCCAATATCTATTATTTTCCAAAGTCACAGACTGCAGCTAGAAGGATTATTTCTTTAAAACAACAGACTACTCTCAGACATATATAGGGTCTGTTAAGTTCAGCATAATGTTTCAAATCCCATCATAATAAGGATTTGGATGTGTGCTATTACATGAAAACAGATAATGCACAATATGTTTAATCAGAATTAAGCTTGCACATTTGAGGGAAGAAATAAATCCCTGAGGGATGTAATACCAAGCCTGATGTTCAGGCACCTAGCCATGAACTTCAGTGAACTGCAATGGAAGGTTTACAGCAAACACAAACTGAAAGTATACTTTTATTTTCATAGGGAAAGATGACAGACATCTTTCTCACTGATTCAACATTTGTAACTTGCACTGAGATCAAAAGCTCACAACCTTTATAGAAGCCACATGGCTGTTAAAAAAAAAGAAAAATTAGAAAAAGGAGTAAGTGGATTGAGTAACAAACACATCACAAACCCAGCCGGAGGCTCAGAGTAGCTAACGTGATACAGGGATTTGAAGTACGCAAACAGAAAATCAGGCTTGCATGCAGGATGCTCCCATTCAACTGCAGTTTTTAAGCTCAACAAAAAATTCTGTAATAAATCTATTTCCTGGCAATTCAAGACAACATAAGATGATAATTCCTTATTATATCTCTGAATATATCCACTTTTTCAGTGTTATGGGTAGATCATATGATGCAAATATATTTACCCACTAGCAAAAGCAGTCCTGTGCTTCCATATTCTACAAATCTGTTTGTGTTTACTCCACACAAAACATAAGCAAGAGATTATGGATACATATTGAAACAATTCATTTACATGTCTTTTCAGGAGAACAAAATGTTGCTCACAAGGTCATCCAAATAAATTGCTCACAAATTTCAGTGCCATCACAACATTATATATTTTCATCCAGTTGCACAGTCAAGTAGTTACACAAGGCTTGGTCTTAGGAACTCATTGCATTCACAGACCCAGTAAAGTACACAGAAGTTGCATGTGCAGAGAGTTTTCAGATTTGGACACACACTTCAGGAATTTTGCACTGTCTTTCCTAAAAACGTGCTAATTTGTTATCCTTTTCATTCAAATGCCTCTCACTGTAGCATTTTTAGTGATTTAAGTAAAAGTATTAGAATATTTGAAGACAAAAATATAATAACGTACATTCATATTAATGCTGGTTTAAAACATTATTTGGTTACCAGTAAGTAGAAAGCCATATTTTTCACAAGGAGTTGCCTACCTTGACCTCCTCAGGGCTTCTTCATCTGGATCTTGCACTGCAGGCAAAAAAATGTTTCCATTAAAAAAGGAAGGAAAGCAGGAAGGAAAGAGTTTGCTTTCTGGTGAAATTTTAAGTTCTTTAGAAGCATATCTAAAGGTGCATTCATGCTGACTTCGCAGCAGTGGATTTTGTAAGAACAGCATGAAGGGGAGCAGGACCCTGGAGCTAGGAAAGATATCAGTAGGAAAGTAGCTATTGCAAATACTTTCTCATTCACTTATTAGCAATATTTCACAGCTGTAGACAATGATCCTACAGAGAGGGCCAGCTCTTCTGCAGGAAAGCACAAGAGACAGTGGCAGATTCATTTAACGAGAAAATACTAAGTATTTCGCCCTGGTGTGGGAAAGGTCCCTGAACTCCCTTCTGTCTAGATCAGAAACAAGCTCTGAGGTTAGTACCAAGGAGGCAGAAAAACACTTCCATAAGCACAAGCAACAAAGTTCAAGCTCCCAGGACATTCGTAGCAACTCTGGGTTTAGATAACAGGGTGGATATAGCCGTAGGTTCAACACAAATAGTAATCTTTTTTTTTTTTTTGACCTCTGGGTGTCACTTCTATAAGACTGTGACAAGAGACATAAGTTGTTTATCTTTTTTTCTAATGAATGGACAGCTTTGTATGTCTAGGCTGCTGGAAAATGAAAGATTACACTGCAGAGATATGACTTGTAGCTAAGAAGAACTATGGGGTCCCCATACGCTCTTTTGCTGTTGAGTCTGTTATACTTCCATGGTGAGACCCATGGCAGATCAAAGAATTTTCTTCATAATGTGTGAGACTGAACACTTTGATTTCATAGTTCCCTCCAGCTACACCCAGGGTTCTCTGACCTTAGCCCTCGCTGACAATGACTACACACTGGATGTGAGTCTTCCTTGAGTGTGAGTTGCTAATACTAGGCTAAGAAAATAAAAACATAAGTCTAAAATCAGGATGAGGGGGATGTTTTGTTATTCCACTTACTGTATTCAGTTCCAGTCATCTGGGCAAGGATGCGAAAAGACTTGGACTGCAGATTGGCAGAACGGCGACTCCAGTCTTCGCTTTCATCTTCAGGCTTGTTCTGAGTTTTAAGCACAGCCTGATACACCGGAGAGGCACTGTCTACATGAGGATCTTTAAGAGGAAGGGTACTGCAATTCAGAAAGTGAAATGTTGTGAAATAGCACATGGTAGCTGTCATCCCAACCTCGCTTTGGCTTTAGCTTCTCATCCAGCATAACAGCAATCCAAAACATGGCTTTGAAAATGCCATTTTTCAAAAACACCCCTTATAGATTGATTTTATGTGAATGAAGAACATTATGACTCATTCTATCTTTGAAATAGCCTGTTACCATTCAAATCTGCATATTCAAACCAGTGTAAAAATGCTTGGACGTGTCTGTTCATGATTCCTCAGCCAATGCAGCCACCAGTTTACAGAGGTTAGAATAATGTCTGGTGGCAAATGAGAGTATGCCAGACAAAACCATTTATTCCTCTGAGCATTCTTGTCCCATATTATTTCTTATAAAAACAGCTTCATGTTGATACTGGTTTATGTCTTATTTATGTTATGTCTTGTTATAGTTTGGGGCCAGTGTGTTTTAAGGATGCAATTAGAAATAAAAACCACATTTCATTATAAAACTAATGCAGTAGGCTTTTATAAATTTTTCTAGGGATTATTATTCTTTCCAAACTCTGAGTTAAACTTCCAGCTGCCATAATTCTGGATTCATTGTCTATTAAACATGTGAAGCATAAGAAGTCTATACTTGCACTCCACACTTGTGTACATATTCTGTACCTGAAATCTTTAACAGCAGACTCTATCTCAGAGTCTTATGACATCTCTGCAGTATGAACATGCAAAGAGATAGATCCAGGAAGAAACTTCCACTTTTGCACACCTAAAGTCAAAGCTAGGAAGCTCTGTAGCACGAGTGTGGCAACCTCTCTTTGATTCATGGTGCAAACTAGAAACAGACTTAGTAACTTAATAGCTTTTTTTTTCCCCCTGTGAAAATAACTTTTGCATAGCATACAATTAAAAATAGCAGAGCTGCAGAAATATATGCTATGGCGATGATGTGTGCTTGGCATAACCTGGCTCCATGATTTCTGTAAGTACAAGATCTATTTTGAAGCATGTGATTTATTGTAGCAGCTTTAATATGCTATTCCATACAGAGCTTTGCAGACAGCATGCTCAACTTCATCAAAATTGTGAAATGGATTAAAAGTTCAGGGCCATTTGTTCCAGCTAAGTCACTGCTATAAAGTTCCAGGAGCAGTTACCTGCTATAAAAGTTGCTTCCTTGTTAACTCAAAATTAGTGTTCTCTAAACTGCCATTGTGCAGAGAAAATCTACAGAGCAGTTGGGTTTGAAAGCCTGAGAGGAATCATGAAAAAGCCAAGAAGTATGTCTGATGTCCTACATACAGCAATAACTGTCATTAAAAAAACATTAGCAGGTCGTGCCTTAAGTATCAGTATTTCCAGCTGACGCACTCCTCTTCTTCAGCACTGTGTAATATACACTCTTTTAATGGATTTGCACCTAACAATAGCACAGGACACATTCTTCAAGTACAACTGCAAGGAGCTCAGGAACATGATGTGTGCTTATATTTTTATATATACATATATATATATATACACAAATATATATGTATGCTATGGGATTTTTTTTTTCTTAAAGGAGTATTTATATTCCTCATAAGTCCCAGGTAGATGCAAACTTCTTACTTTCTTGAGGACGCACCAGGGTACAAAACCCAGTTATTTTTCTTTTATATGTTTCACCACAATCACCTGTGTGATGGAGCATAGCTTAAAAGAAGCCTGACCCTTCAGTTTAAGCTCTACTATGGAATATAAAAGTTGCATAAAGAAGTCCCTCAGCATGGAGGCATTTCAGGCCTATGTCTGGGTACTGGCTGAAAGCAGACAGGACCTTGCCCTGTGATATTGCCATAGGTGACCACCTGATTTTAGCCAACAGTTAACTCTGCATCCCCAGACTTACTTTTTAATCCCACTGAAGTTTAAAAAACTGCTGTATGTGATAGCAAATTTCACAGCTGCAGACTGTTGTAGGGTGGATAATAAACCACTAGATAGACAGCACTGCTGATGTGGCAACAGCAGTGTGCAAGTCATGGACAGTTCAAATTCCTGTGTTTAAATCCTCTAGCTGAAATGCTTTGTTCTTCTATTATCTTCTATATTATCTTCTATAATTATTATCATATTATCTTCTATAATATACAAAAAAGCAGTGTAAAAGCGTATGCATAGATAATGCCATTAGCTCAAAGGTAGTTAAAAAATGCTAAAGGCTGGACCACAAATTTCACAGTAGCAATGTGTGGCATTAATATGACATTAATATCCTTATGGTAGATGATTAAGGCAGGAAATGGAGCTGGGTGAATTAACCTTCCCTAGCAGAGTGAAACATGCTCATATGAATTTAACTAAATTAATGCAATACATTGGAATATTTCCAACTCTGCTTTTAATGCAAGAGGCTTTTTCATGTTTTAAGATCATAATTATATTGTAGATGAGTAAATAGGACATATAAGCCACTCAGCATGGAAGTGTAAAATAGAGCGCATCGTTGATTATGAGCATTTCATAAACCTAAATGCGACAGTTGATTTTTACAGGCAGCATAAAGATGCACATAACCATGTTAATACCTGTTATACCTCTTCTTAATTTAATGTTTTTTTCCATCTGGGTGTGTATGTGCAGAAATACCATGCATCTTTAAGCATATTACTTTAAATTGATGTTATTGAAAAAGAATTCTTCCCAAACGGGTTAGAGCTTTTGAGGGTTTTCCTTATTATAGGCTAAGGTATTTTAGTAGGATTCAATAAAAAATTGTCCCCTTTTTCCACATCATCATGTAAGTCACACACTAATAACATTAAAACAAGCTTTAAAGACAGCCAATTTGAGTTGCAATGTGATTTTTTTTTCTTGGAATGCATTATAAACTAAAGCTTACCATGTGAATCACTCACTGGAGTCGTTATTCAGATTTAAGTACATAAGTAAAAACTCAGGAGCACTGTAGTGCTCTACCCCTAGTGTAGACATTTGATAAAATATTACGACTTCAGATATTAGAAAAAAAGCTCTAAGAAGTAATAAAACCAAACTAATCCAACAAACAAACAGTTCATTTAGACTGGTAAATTATCTGGCCAAGTTGACTTATTGTCGAGGATACATGAGACTTTAGTTTCTGCAGTCACATTATTGGTTCTACTACTAGAACTGCTAGATCTTAATCCTGACAAAGCTATTGGATTTATGTCTTCTTACATGACTTCTGAATTTGGCTAACACTGCATAACAGAATTTAGAAGAGGTTTGACAGAAATGTACTTGAAATGTACTGACCACATGGTTTTACTGCAACTCTTGGCTCTTGGTATAGCAAAATCAATTAAAGCAACATACAGTAGAAAAGATATAAAGTCAGGGCATTCTATTTTTTTCTACTTTTAAGTTTCAGCATGAAGTCTGAATAACTGCAGTATAAATAATTTATATGTTTTCCTTTGTGTTTTCCATGGGTTATTTTCTAAGCGACATGAACCTGATTCTCATCTCACTGACTTAAGCTAAAACAACCAATTTCAAATGGTCAAGCTACAAAATGAATTCTTATCCTAAGCCTTTCTCTTCATCAGTGATAAAAGTAATAAGCAGCATTTCCAGCTATTGTCTGCCACAGAGAACAGAAGCCCTTTAGATCTGCAGTCTGAACATGCTTATCACCACCCTGTGGCTTCAGGGCTTATTTCTAATGCAAAATGAAAAGCCCAAAGAAGAGCAATTAAGTGCTGAGACCAAATTATAGCCAGAGAATTGAGTCAAACTGAAGGAGCACACAATTTGGTCTGCTTTTATATGACAATCTTCTCATACAAATACTTCTGCATTAAGTATAATCTTATCTCAGACTCTATCAGCTAAGCAAACTAAAGAACATCCTCGTTTCCACAGCAAGTTAAAGTTCAGAATATCACAAAGGTCAAAGCAACACCCTAAGGAAATGAGTTATAGGTTTAATTGAATGATTATCAGTCAATGGATAGGCCATTATATATCAGTACAGATCTTGTCTTTATATCTACACTACAAATGCTTTGTTAATTGTATTTAAACAATCTACTGAGAAAATTGTTTAGTCACTGTTACCAGTTTAAAAAAAAGAAGTTACAAGACAGGCTGTAGCTCACAGCACAGTATATTTAGAGATTCCCCTGCACCTGACTGCATATAAGAATTAAAACATTAGTTTATTCTGGGGCCACATGAATGTCAGGCTTATGAGTTGCATTCCAGAATGAAGGACAAGCTTAAACAGTAGTTTATGTACCGCATCTTGCAGAAAAACTTTTTTGCAGCATTACAGGGGAGAACATAGTCATAGAATTAGTTGTCTGCAAAGACTAGTGTTCCTCTAGAACTGTCTGATACAAAAGGATTAATGGAAATAATCACCTCATTTCAAAACCAGCCATGCAATAGGTGGATTCCATGTTCAAAATGAGGAAAAACAGTCAGAACAGAACTTTTGCTAGTGGCGTTCAACACAGCTCTTGCTGTGGCTGGTGCAATGACTCAACAGTCCATGAAAACCTACTTTTTGTTTCTTATCTGTGTATCCATTCATTAGACTCTTTTCAAAATATATGTATATACCAATACAATTAATTACCATATTATGATTTATGGTTCAAGCCTCTCTAGTTATTTGGATTCTTTACTTCATAATTCTGCATGTTAAAACAAATTCCTGACACCACCCCCCTGCCCCGAAGTGTGCTGGTCTTCCAGTTCTAGTTGCACTCTTTGGCCTTCCCTCACTCAATCTGGGATTTTCTAGAAAGGGCATTTTCTACTCCCCCCCAGCACAGGGTGCTTTGATCTCTTTCACCAGTAGGAAAAGACGATGACATTTTCCAGTCCAGCAGAGCCACTCCCATGACTGGAAGTGCATTTCAGAGTTTCTTTTAATGTGATGTTAAGAAAATAAAAAGGATCCACGTGCTCAGCAGTGCAACTTTATGATCATCTAGCCATTTAAATAGGTAGAACTTTTAAACATTACTATTCCCATTACAACGTTACAGAATTTAGTAGAAAATGCCAATATATCACGTCTCTCATAATCCATGTCTCTGAAAGATGCCATCTCTCATAAAGAACATTGATAGAATGAACTGTTTTCATTGTACTTTGCTAATTGGAATGAGTCTACATACCCCTGTGGAGATTCACCGAGTCATGGTCAAAATCAGCTTTTGCTACCATCATTAGGGAGAGTTTGGGTACCATCATTAGGGAGAGTTGCAATGAACAGAATAGTAGTGGTGCAAAAATAATCAGTGGGGGGAAAAAAGAAATTAGAAAAAAAGAATGAAATGGCCAGTAAAAGGGAGCACAAGCAAATACATAAATGATCTACATTTTTAATAGGCCTGCAGCTAACTTACCGAAAAGAAACTACATTAAAGTATGTTGCTATACTTGTATTTTGGTGTCACATGAAAAGAAGGAAAGTTCTCTTTTGGGTAGAAAGATACCAAGTAAGAGAGAAACCTGGCTACATTCATCACATGTATAATTTCAGTTTAGCCTTAACAACTGAGGATAAGATGATCAGCTACGATTACCAGAAACATGCATTGGAAAAGCAGGATTAAAGATCAGTGGACTTTGCTGTAGTCCAAAGGATGTGTGTGAGAGACATGTACAGAATGTGAACTAGGGAACAGAACAGTAGCCACTACTAAATAAATATTTTGAATTCTTCATGGATCAAATAAAAATTCCATCCCCCCTTTCCTGTTTTTGATGAGTTGTGCATATAATACAGTGCTTATTACAAAGCACAGTCATCATAAGTAAAAATTCATCCAATGTCATACACAGAGCACTAGATACATTTTTGCAGAGTTTCCCAGTTCTAGAAAGAACACCGAAAAAGAAATGTTACATTTTCCAACTATCCATCCTTTTACCTTCACAACGATTAAGCGCCCTCAAACACTATCTAGGCCCGATTTGCATTTTTCATGTTTAAGATACTCAAAAAAACAAGGTCCAGGAAGAGCTGCCATGTCATGCGTGCAGGGACTGTTAGATGTGTCATGCAGAAAAACACCATTCCACACAAGGAAATAACCTTACCCAGCAAATTCTCCACCCTGGGCTTGTGCCTGGCCTGCAATGGCATCCATGATAGCATCTTGGGAATACATGCTGATCGGGGTGTTATACTGGGCGTGAATTATAGTAGCCTTCCCGCCTAGGCCTTTCACCTCAATGGGTTTGTGTGTAGACAGGGCAGAGTCCTTCAGGACATTGGGGTTGAACCAGCTGGGTTATGCAAGAGTGAGGGTCAACAGGGAAGGAAGAGGAAGAAAGGAGAAAGGTGTGACAGTTAAGTGAGAGAAAAAAGCACCAAAAGAGGAGCGTGCATGTCTGTTCAAGGCATCTCACCACAAAAGCTTCTGATCAGGGCATAAGAGACAACATCAAAGCAACAGATAAAAGCTGTCTGTGCTAACAGGTGACATTTTTGTGTTGCCCCAAGTATAAAGAGAAAAAAAGGTGAAACAGTTGTCACTGTACAAAAGCTCATGACAAATACTTAAGTATTTATGTGATGCTTACATATATTAAAATTCTATTCTTACATGCATACATAGATGTAAGGGTATACAAACATACACACACACACACATATATATATATGCATGCCCATGGATGTACATACATACTGCAGAGAATTTGCAGTTTATTCACTGCATCCATTCATTCATTCCTTCAGAAGGGTCTTACAAAGTGCTACAGAATGCAGTGGGGTGAACAGATGTCAGGTCATCAATAATTTAGAAGGTTCCAAGACTTTCTGTCTGGATTATTAATCATAGTGAAATTTAGTACTTGTGCTTTTTAATCTTCAAAGCTTTCCTCACAAAGACTAAATTAATCTTCCCAAAATGTCTGTACAACCAGCCGTAAGTGTTGCCAGAGCATGATAAATGCTCAGCCTCAGATCAAAATATCCCACATTGCAGTCAACAGAACTGCAGCTGGAAGAGTAGCCACCATATTTTCCAGTGGCTCCATTCATGAGGAAGGACACTTGTTTGAGAAAATGAGCCATAAGCAAGTTAACCAAAGCTCCCATTGCAACCGAATGAGTCAGACTTCAACTAAAGAGCCCCTGGCTTCCTTGCAGTGCCTAGCTGTACGTGCTCTAGTCTGAGAGTTAGGACTGACTATTGCTTGAAGTTTCAGTGAGCAAGCTAACCCTCAGCTGGCAGTCACTGAAGTTGATGCTCTTCTCCAGCCTAGGAAAGATCAGATGAATCTCTAGTCTGCTGTTCCTGTACTGCCAGCAGCAGGGGGACGCCAGCAGTATAGATTTTTTATGCTCACCAAACTTGTCAAAACTGAGAATCCTGTCCTTTGGGAAATAATGGGTATTTCACAAAGGTTTCACTTTGAATTGAGCCCAAAAGCTGGAAATGGATATGTGTCTGCCCCTGCAAAACTATCTGCAAAATGTAATCCCATTTGATCAGAACATTTTTCCTTTTCAGTTTGAAACCATTACGCCGTAAGTTTATCAGCCAATATAATGTCTTTGGCTGATTTGTTTTCCTGTGGCTGAACAGCTTCTCTGGTTGGCAAGGGAACAATAGTGTGCCTGTCTGCTGTAGGTCAGCCCCAGAGGGTGAGTATTCAAACTGAACCCTCAACCTGGCATGGAGAAAAAAGGAAAATCAAGTAAAGCTGGCGGCCATCTGATTTAGTTTTCTCAAGATTATCTAACGTGATGTGCCTCCTCTGAACCCAGCCAGGCGATACCACTGTGTTTTCAGCCTTTTGTTTGGTAGGATGCCCTGACTGAAAATTGACAGTAAGAGAACAGTCACACATCATTCAACATACCTGACAGAACATTAAAAGCCACATGCTCAAGGAATAAAGACATAAGCACATGCTGCATTACAGCCACAGGCTTTAGTTACATACATCAACATTTTGAGGGAGTGGACTGAGAAACTGCACTGTGCATTCAGAAAGTGAAAATCATCTTTTTAAAAAGACATTTTCACGCTTAAAATATCTCTCTGTTCATCAACTGTGACATTATTATTACACTGACATCATCTGTTGAAGGGTGATGTGCACAGACATGCAGGTTGATATACCCTTGACTTTTCAGCATGCACATGCCTTACTTTAACAATGGTGTGTTTCCTTCATAATACCCTAAATGATCACATGATAATTAGGAACACACAGGTCCCTCAAGATCTTTAATTCAGTGTTCTCTTTCTCCCACACTGTTAGAAGTATGGAAGGGATTCGATACCCAAAATTTGAGAAGACTGTGTGAATGAAAAGACAGAGGTTAAATATGCCACTTTCAGAGAATAAGGTTCAAAGCAACTGGTTTCCACAATTAAAAAAATAAAAGCTAGTCATCGTAGAACATCCTAGACTTCCCTAATGGTAGCAGCAGTCATGATTTAGGCTTCCACTTGTGGTATTTAAACAGTTTCAGTGGTGTCTTTCAAGAGGTTTTAGTCACATTACACATATCAAGGCAAAACTTTCACTCAAGTTAACAGGATTCCCATAAGAATTAAAAAAAAGAAAAAAAAAAAAAAAAGAAGAGGCAGGGCAGAGTTTTCAACTGCAGTTTTTGTTGTAACTCTGGACATAAACAGAAGAGATTAGTGCTTGTAAGAGGTGCTGTGCTCTAGGACACACTGGCAAAGTTAAGACCCTAGAGACAGGTGGAGCACCTCTGCAGAATAAATGAGATTTTTCTACTAAGCTGCAAAAGGATCAGAAAAAAATAAATCCCAAAGCAGCAAGATTAAAAACATCCCAATGATGCGAGTTCTACTTTCTAAGAGAAATGCATCGGAGTAATTATCAGTGTAAATTGGCTACAGTTTCATCACTCCAAAGGAGTTACATCATTTGCCTGACATCACACCCATACCTCATTAAAATCGACACAGAATGCCAGGTCAGCATAAATTATATATATTAAATACTATTTCAACTTTATGTATTCTACTATTTCTGACCTCTTGTCAGTTCAAATTTGACAATTAATAAAATTATTTATTTTATGCTGAATTTCAGCCAGTCTCCAGCAATTTCTGGATGACAATCCGTTCAGAGACAGAAAGCAGGAATTGAGAGACAATCCTCTGCCCCTAGAAAACTAAATGTCAAAGCTGAGGACTCTGTGAATGTTCCTGAATAAAGCAGATCACATTTTCAAATTAGTAGTTGCTTCTTGTTTGGCTTTACTAAATTAAATTACTTTTTAGATATTTTGCATATCAGTATCTCATACCAACCTCAATTTGAATTTTAGTGGAGTGGGACCTTGGAAATTAATTTAATGTTGAGGCTAAAAATACATCACTAATAATACACCAAAAAAGGCTCAGATAAGGTTCCCCAAATACTGAAGGCCTCAAGACTGCTTAAAAAGTTAGGAGGAATTAAACACAGGCTGTAGAGATGAAAACATCTGAAACCATTTACAAGAACTGAGCAAGCTCAGATGCAAACTCAATTTGAAGCATTAGAACATCACCAAGAAATGCTGAACACATGGTGTGCTTAGAAGGGAGCACCACTGGACACCAGTGGCAGTGCATGACGCTTGCCATGCCAGTAAGAGGTTCTTAAAAATACTTCCACTTGCAAGCAGACACAGCAGGAACACAAGGGATCATGCTACCCCAGAAACCTTCACGCATACAGCGCAACACAAATACTTGGCACTACACAGAAGTGATACTAACTTGGCAGCGGTGTTGGTTATGACCTAAAAGAAGAGAAAAAGAACAAACAACATCAAAACCAACCAGAAAAAGTCAATAGTTTTCAGAGTGCAAAGGGCAAAAGGTATTTACAGAAGCTTACTAAAGCTTTTTCAGACCATCTACAAGTAAGAATGAAAAGTAAAAGTATGCCTGAAAACCCCAACATGATTAAGAAAGGAAAAAAGATAGGGATTATACAGTCGATCCACTGGGACTTAGTAGGGTACCATGGCATTTTAGCTGACCCTTGAACATGATTTTATTGCCATGTATCCCTAAAAGTAGTATTATCAAAGTGTTATGGGGAGAGGGAGTGAAGGGAAGAAAGAAGCATTTATCGAGCAAATTACCATCTGAAAATAGCAAATGAGCAGCAGAGATTATATTTTTCTCTCAAATACTAAATACTCAGGGATGAGGTCTGTTCTCCTGAGGCTGCCTTCAGAGTTGGTATTGCAAGACTGATGTTTGTGTCTTTTAAATGCTGCAGGATATGCAAAGAATATATTGGTGGGTGTTTAAAACATAAACCCGAGGAAAATGTCTTTGTATTTAATAAACTATTGGCCTAAATCTGACCTTACCTACATTATGCCAACAGTGGTGCAAGCTGATTAATTTAAGAACAGTCATTCCTAATTTATTCCATGTGAAAGGAAGCAATCAATGCATTCCATGGGTTTTTTTTTTTTTGGATACCCATATCAGGATATTTTATTCCATCTGGTACATACACAGTATGAAAAAACTTATATGTTTATGCTTCACTGCATGAACAAGAAGTAATGGTGGCTTGCACAGTAATTCCAAAGAAACTCAGCATAGGCCTTACTCAGGCCAAAGCTGGGAGTGATGAACAGATAGCATGCTCAGACTGTTGCATTACATTATTTGCTAATAACTCTTACTGTTGGTTGCACAAATAGCATTAAAGGGCTATGACACTGACTTTAATTTAGTTTTTTCAAAGCTTAGAATACTTAGAATATTTTGTTCTCATATTCTGCACAAATTAAAGAGGAAGAGAGTCCAGGATCAGTTAATAAACATTTCTTCTTATTTAGCTGCACAGAATGCTGTTGTCAGAACTGGGCACTGAATCTTCCAACTTGCTGCTGCAACATTTCTGGATCTGAGATTGATACAAAATACTGGACGACAATGTCATACTGTTAGCATGACATCCAGAGTGGATTTGTCTCCTTCTGCTTTTGCCTTGCAGAACCTTTAATATTACTGCTTCTTTCTCATAAAGTCCTTTTGCACCAGCTCATCCAGCTGCCTTTTTCATGATGTAAAACACTCTAATGAGCCAAAGCTGCAGTACAGGCTTTGCACTTCTGCATTCCCATGGAAAAGCAATCAGAGACTCTAGGATTCATGAACATTCGAACTTTATAAACCCTACTTTAAGCCAAATATATCAGTCTGTCACAGGGACCAGTAGAGATACATTAGGAACAAGCCACAGCCTGTAAGCACATCAAGTGATCCTATATCCATTTTAGGTACGTGCAGGACAGCTGGGCACTCATTTACAGCGAAACATAGTATAATAGTATCATTTTCTGAAGTGGACTCTGATGCCTGCTTTAATCTTCTAATCCAGGTCATATTATTCTAAAATAATATTTTAAAGGCAGAACTTCCTTAATTAAAGGAACCACTTTTTTGCATATAAGAATATGTTCAAAGATAAAAATCATTATGTGTACACACTAAGAACAGCTCGACAGCTACATCTCAGTAAAGATTTTTTAGATGTGAAGAGGCTACTATTGCTTCCTTCAGGAAGAGTAAAGCTTTACTTCTCCTTATGTTTAGTACATAACGAGAAAATTCTCTCCAGTTCAGAGCCACGCGTAATCTTAGCTTGATTCTAAACATGGACATCTATGAAACACCCAACTTCCTGCTCTCAGAGGTCACACAGTCAGAAGCTAGTAACCCAAGCCACCTGGCACGTATTTGTGGGACAGGTATTTACTGCCCTTGACCTACAATGTGAAAAGTAACTTACACTGGAATGAAAAAGAACCATATGTTACAAGCTATTACTCACTCTTTGTATTTACTAATACTCCCCTTTCCAGGGCTTTCAGCACATCAAGTTCCACACACTTAACAGGCCACATCTATTTTTCACCCTGGGCCAGGGTGACAAAGCTTCTGTGTAAAACTCTATCAGAGGAACAGATGCTTTGTTATTCTTCACAGGTCAAGGAAATAATCTCAAAATTAGTTTTACCTTTCTGATAGGATTTTCCAAAGGGCTTAGCTAAGCTTCTAACAGCAACTCACACAATAAAGTTTAAATGATTTGGTGAAAAAGACACCAATTTGGAATATGAAACATCCCTTAAGATCAACCCCAGACCTGAATTCTCTAAGTGTATATTCATGAATGTATAAGAGATTTGGAGCACCATAATTTTACTATCTGTTCACAGCATCTCATGTTGTACTATATGATAAGCAAAGTGCAGAGATGATTTTGCAGAGGGGACAGTACTTTCCTTGTGTACTCTTCCACATATATCCATAATGAGATCAAGACTATTGTGGATGATACCAAGTCCCAGGGCAGTTATATGTTCCAGGTTACTCTATACAGAGCAGTAAGAAAGATGCCTCTAACTTCACGGGTAATACTCAAGTAGGAGCAGAAATGACAGGATTCTTGAACTCTGAATTTTCTCTGCATGTAAACAGAGATGTACAATCCTCTAAATCTCAGAGGAATTGTCTGAAAAGACACATGTACTTTGTAGCTCTGGGCCCTTTCATCTTTTCAGAATGTTTCTGGGCTGTAGGATAAAGGCTGATTTTTTTTTTTTTTAACAGAACATTTAGATGATCTCTCATAAATGTCCTGGTTTGTTCATTGGTGCTACAGATATTACAGGCAGACAGACAGTGACTCCTTAACATTTTGATCAAAATAAAATACATCTCAGATTTATTCTAAGAACCTTGCCTTGTAATTCAGTGCACTGCCGCAGGCATGCACTAACGTGTACATATAAAGGAGACACAAACCATGGAAAAGCAGCAAAGCAAAGATAGTGAAGTGTTTTCTGCAGGTTCACCTTTTATGCACCCCAGCAATCACTATCATATTATGTAGTCCGATCACAATGCCCTCTGGAATCCAGTGAATGCTTCACATTGACTTTGGTGAGTGATAGATGCAGCTGTGTTGTAATTTTGATAACAAAGACATAGTCAGAATGCTGAGCCATCCAAAATACAGCCTTTTCACCCTCACCCTTGCAGATGTTAAGGAGATATTGTGAAGACAGTGCGAGAAAGATAGCGAGATATATTCCCAGGAAACTCTGCATATTGAAATAAGTCAAGGATTCATTTTCCTCAAGCAAACTAAATTAACAGGGAAGCATTCTGAGGTTTATTTTGCTGATCTTGCTCACCAACTGAAATTATTTTCTTTTAAACACTTACTGCCTTTCTTAATTATCTGGTATGAGAAGGGAGGATAGGATTTTTTCAGATAAGTTAATTAAGATTGTTAATGCCAAGTGCTCAAGAGAGTTTCAACGAATCATCTTGATTGCCTGAATCATCAAGAACATGTATATATGCTCTGTTATAAGGATAAAATATCCTTACTTTGATAAAACTTAACACCCCCCTGGATTTACTCTTGCAAAGAGCTTCTGCAATGGGATATAATGTACTTGAAAACATGCATTTGCTATCAGACCTCAAATGGATTGTCTGAATTTCCCATTTTTCCTCATACAGCCAAGTCCCTAGTGCTGAAAGTACACTTTTTCCCATATTCATAATAAGAAATTTACCTTCATTTTAAATAAACACAAAGAAGCAAATTGGAGATTTGTTTGCAAATTAATACATGAAGACAGAAAAAATAGGAAAACCTGTTTCACGCTGCTTTTTCTTGCATGTTGTAGTCCAAGCTCCCCACTTCACAAACCTACTAGTTGATCTGCCACAGAGTAACACTGCAAACCTTAACAGCATGGGATTAAACTATCTGGATAGTATCTAGAAATCATTTCTTGTTACATCCAAGTTAGAGCAAAGCTAACAGATGTGAGACCAACAATGTTCAAACCAAAGGATTAAATATATTGCAATTTTGACTCATTTTGCATAGGAAGGTGGGAATTATAACAGACACACCAGCAGACTAGCATGTCAGATTTGCAATTTCTCTTTAGGAAAGCACCAAAGATCAAATCTGTTTTATAGCAGCTTCTATAATGGCCAAGTGTAATACTTGGTTCTATAAGACTACATGCATTAGTTTAAATCGCTAAATGCCAACCCTGAGATCATCAGTTACTTCAGTCCTAGTGTTCCTCCTCATGCTCTGGTGACTATTGCCAATCCATATTGTAATTCAGATACCAAAGACCAAGGGTTATTCTTTAATGGTACTGTGTGTAAGTTTTGGGGGGTACTGGAAAATGTAATGATTGTTCCAGACCTTAATCATGATTACCAGACAAATATACAATAGGGTAGGTACTATTACATTCATTTTTCAGCAAATTCATTACTTATTTTAATATTAAATATTTTACCATGTTACCTACCCTCTAGGAAGTCCACCTTCCGAAGCCCTTCGGTTGAGACTTAATTTATGCATCTCAGCCATTTCCCTTAGAGTCTCTGCTGAGTAAAGGCCAATAGGGTTGTTATACTGCCTTGCAGGGCTCAGCTGGTGTACAGGACTATTGCCATCAGTCAATACAGGGCTTAGTTTTGAACCTAGATTACTCTTTGCAGGTGAAATGTCAGGAGTCACAGATTGAGAGGACATGGAAGATCTAACTGTGGTAGTCTTTAAGTAGGAAGAGCTATTTGAAAAGCTGATCTCTTGCTTGTTGAGGTAGCCTGAAAACGTTCCATTGGTTGCTAAAATACTACCCACAGGCCCAGTCGCCGTGTTAGTTAGAGGACTGAAGGTTGTTCTGTTGCCATTGATTTCCCAAGCAGGTTCCTGTAGTAGCAA